AAAAAAAAAAAAAAGAAAGAAAAGGGTGCTAGGGCTTGGTGCCTGTAGCTTAGCAGCTAGGGCGCCAGCCACATACACCGGAGCTGGCAGGTTCAAACACAGCTCAGGCCTGTCAAATAACAACGACAACTACAATCAAAAAATAGCCAGGTATTGTGACAGGCGCCTGTAGTTCCAGGTACCTGGGAGGCTGAGACAAGAGAATCTCTTAAGCTCAAGAGTTTGAGGTTGTTGTGAGCTGTGACGCCATAGCACTCTACTGAGGGCAACATAGAGAAACTCTGTCTCAAAACAAAAACAAAAAAAAGAAAAAGAAAAAAGTGCTAGGTGAGGTCTCCCACCTGGCTTTCTAACACAACGAGCTCTGCATTCCACTAATAGTTCCCTTATGAATACTGTGCCCTTTGAGAGAAGAGGAAACCTCTGAGGTGGACATCTGCTATGTTTTGATGTCAGTATCTATTTCCTCATTTGGTAACAGCAACCCAATTTCTCCTGAGAATCCTCTCTCACCCTCTTATGGTCAGTGCCCTATAGCTGAGGGGATGACATGTGTCTCAGATGTGACCCATTCCTCTGGCACAAATGATTGCAGAAAAATGATGTGGCTCTGATTTTCCTCCAGCAAGTTACTGGGTCATTGAAACCCACTAATCTTTTTGTTCAGACTGCTGTTTGGCACATATCTTTATCCTCCTGGGTAGGGAGGACAGGAGGCTGGGACTGCTGGCAGCCATGTTGCCACCACAGAGGGAAGTCTGTCTGGGGATGGGGTTAACATAGAGATAATGGAGCTAAGAGAGGTAGACAGAAAAATTGGGTCTTGGTGACATTATCTGAGCCCCTGGATCAAGTTGTATTTGAAGTAGCCTTACTCTGAGACTTTTCAATGACTTAACCTGAACAAATACAATCTAGTCTCCTCCTTCCCCCAAGCCAGTTTAGGTATGATTTTCTGTCATTTATAAGAGAAATATCACTAAATCCAACCTTTCCCTGTGGTTCCTTTGGAGGGGTAACCAATGTGTGGGAATGATTGACTAAAATGGAAGTAATATTACTGCTCACAGCACCCATAAGTCCCCAGTGCTTCCTCCTAAAGACTTATCGCCTTTGGGCTGGACAAATGACCTCCAGGAAAAATGGAGAAGAAAAGGGAGACGGGAGATTTACCTGCATGGGTGTTCTGCATCTGTTACAACAGAATGCTTCCCACCTGGGCCCTGCAGCCACTCTGTGCGCCTCAGTTTGACAAGCTGGACAGTTGCAGTCAAAGAAATATTGAGACCTCAGCTTCTGTTGCCTTTTGGCCACACCCATCCGGCTCTCATGAGGCCCTGGGGAGAGATCACCCTCAGCTAATATTGAAAGCAGGCAAGAGTCAAACATTACTTAAAAACCTTCAGCTTATTAGAGGGCCTAGACAATTATTTACCATGTGACAGCTAACCTTCACTCAAACACTTGTGGAAGTGGATACTAAAATAAGCTTCCAAGTTGCTGAGACAGGAAGAAAAGGAAGCCACGAAGTTGTTCTAGCTCATTTTCAGAATAGGAAGTTTACAGGGATTAAGCAGTGAAAAAAACAGTATAGCCACAATAGGGCCCTAGTAAGAAAGAAGGTCTTTCTCTCTCTTTTGGTCTCAGTATGCACTGCCTCTTCCAGGAAACAAACACTGACAGGCGAAGTCACTGCCCAGGGGCTTGCTGGTTCTTACCCACCCTGTCCTTTTCTGCAGGAGAAAGGCAGGACAGTAGTGAGGAGACATGGCTCACCATAGCAGTGGAGAATCTCTTGCCCTTTTCCAATCTGCTGAGATGCCCGAATGGTGGCGACAGTGCTACAGAAGGATATGCTGGTGTTGGGGCTGCAGGAGTGGTTCAGGAGGCTGACAACAGGGAAGACGCCTGTGGCAAGGCGCACCTGCCTACTGTTGGTAATGATGTTCTCTTCAGATCCTGAAAGTGCAAGAGGGAAAAGGAAAGATGTGTCAGGACATCTATTCCTCAGAAGATGAGCCGGGCAGCTGGGCCTGAAGCCCG